ACTCTATAAACCCTGAACCCTAAACCCCTAAACAGCTAAACCCTAAACCCCTAAACCCTAAACCGGAAGAGATCGACACCGACTCCATCCTGAGCTCCGTGTCTGTCACAGGTGGCCACGGATCCACGCTATGAATCCAGGCCTCCGCCTGAAGATGCTTCTTTAGAACCATGGGGGGGGGGAGGGTAGGGTTTAGGGTTTAGGGTTTAGGGTTTAGAGGGTGCCTCTTCTAGGAATCTGTAACCCTATAAACCCTAAACCCTGGACCCTCGACCCTTCCGGGCTAGCGGAAAACTCAATGATCCTACCCTAAGGGTCCAAAGGACCCAAAAGCTGGTTTCTGGGAGAGTATATGACTACCCGAAGAGCCCATAGTAGTTCCTTTTGGGGGGTTACCTTATAGTCCTTATAGGATTCTACATATGAACCCCAAAAAGGAACTACTTTAGAGCCTATGGGTATTAGCTACTTGGGACCCTTAGGAACAGAAGCTCGAAGCCCTATTCCTACCCTCCAAGCCATAAAGGGGGTGGGCACCTTCGGGAGGATCCGTGGTTCAGGGTTTAGGGTTTAGGATTTAGGGTTTAGGACTTAGGGTGTAGGGTTTAGGGTATAGGGTTGGGTATAGGGTTTAGGGTGTAGGATTTAGGGGTTTTAGTTTAGTGTTTAGGGTTGATAGGGCATTGTATGAAGGTTACGTACTGTTATCCGAAATGAGATCCCGGCATCGAGAATTACAAAGATACAGGGGAATCTCTGGGAGTTGATCGCCTGTGGGGCTCTGTAGGTTGGGGGCGCAGGGCATCGGAATTTTAGGGCCACGGGCTCCTGGTCGCATGGCTTTTGACTCACCTCGGGTTTCTTCACTTTCAAGCAGGGATCCCTCGTTTGGCTTCTAGACTTCAGAGCTTAATAAGGGTGTGTAGGAGCTGGGGTTTTGGGAGCACTCGAAGGAGTCATATCTGCAAGACTTTGGGGTCTGCATAGTGATTTCGAATGTTTGAGCCTCCAGGCTAAAGTCGAAGCTAGGAGATTGGGGGTTTCGAGCAAAAGGTTCTTGGTCGGTTGCCCCCCCCAGGCCCAGGCTCTTCCTCCGGAGCTGCTACTACTACCACTACTGATACTACTACTTCTTACCCAACACCAACACCACCCACACCACTCATACCATCCACACCACACACCGCCACCCACAGCAATACCAATCCCCCGCACAACAACACGGCCGTGCCCGTGCAACAAGCACAGAGACGGCGTATGCCGCTCCTACGAGGCTGCCACGATGAACATTCGCTTAAGGGGTAGCTTATTTTGGGGTCCTTATAGAACAAGGATCCTACTATTTAGGGCCTATTTAGGGTACTATGTTGGGGTCCCCTATTTGGGAAGAAACGCTTCCGCGACCCAGCCGGCCGACTGGGACGGACGGCAAGACAGGGCGGTCCCATGCGAGCCGTCCGGGCACACATGGCCTCCCCATTGTACACGCGCGCCGTGGCTTGGGGATAGACAGGCCTTTTACCTGTGTCAGCAACCCATCCCTTTGCATCCGTTGCGCATGAGACGATTGGGCCGGACGAGCACGGAGGTCTTGCACCTCACATTGTCGGATTTGCTGGAAGTGAAGACTGCTGGTCGATACTTACAGCAGAGTTGGAGGCTTGGTTCAGGGTTTGAGCTGCTCGAAAGGAAGCCCTTCCTAGATCCCATCCTCTGTCTCTGCTGGACCCGAAATCGCCACTATGAAAGACCGTAAGGGCTCCATTAACTGAAGATACTGTGCAGGATCATGGCAACCAACGTCTCGCTGCGAAGTTTCAGGCTTTGGTTGATTCTGCGTTGTTCCGACAGCGGTGGTCTAAGGTCCCATCACCACACACTGTGCTCGGAGTGAAAAGTTAGCCTCCCCTTGTAGTCCCTGTAGGAAGTATATACGGTAATGTACCCCAAAACCCTATTCAACTGTTCAGGCCGATTCAAGCCCTATCTTTAGACCCTAGTTCCGTAGTGCAAGATTCCCTAGAACCCCAGACTCCAAATCCAAAACGGTAATCCTTCCAATCTTAAAAACCCTAAACCCTATAAACCCTAAACCCTAACCCTAACGAAGTCCTGAATCCAGGTATCAGCCTTACTGATCGCCTTGGGCTCTGTGCTCACGCCATCCTGCGGGAGGGGACGAGGCCGTCACCAGAACAAGGTTCATGTCTGTGATTCAGCGCTCAGGCTTTAAAAACGCAAACCCTAAAACCAAAAAACCTAAACCCAAAACCCCTCAAGGGTTTAGTATTTGGGGTTGCTGTGGCGTTTAGGCACCAGGGCTTGTGGGTTTGCTGGTTTTGGGACTAAGGCTACGGCTTCTTCAGTTACCCCTGGTACCATTGTAAGCCTCAGCCTCGACCCTCCAATCCTGCGATACCTGTTCACAGTGAGTCTAGCCTTGAAGGCTGATGTTGCTGAACAAGCCCAGATGCCAAAGCATAAATATCCCAGCATCCTTCAGTTGTGCCCTTGAAACTGTTGATGGACAAAATCCTGCATGACCTTAAGGACCTGAAACTATGGGAATTATGGTATATTCCTTATAATGGGTAATGCAGGATTTTGTCCATCAACAGAAGGGGTTCTTCTTTTCATGGTTGGCAGGCGTTTTAGGCTGTACGGGAGGTCTAGTCTATGTCATTGCTCGTGGTTTAGGACGAGCTCGCCTTACATATGAAGGATGAAGAACGTTTTTCGATACTGCCTGGTTTCAACTCGATTAGTCTTGTGTTTGTGCGGTTTAAGGGCGTGCTCTGTTTCTTTTCCAGATGTTGCTGGAGTTTAACATTCAAGGTGAGGGCTTCTTTGGATTGGGCGTAGAACTGGCCCTTGCTGGGGCTGTAGAGGGCACCAGGAACCCGGAATTCCGCTTGGCTGTAGATGGCGGGATGGGACTTGGGATTCCCTTTCAGTGCCTCAGAGACAGGCTTGAACCCAAGCAAAAGGTGAGCGCGAAAGGGGTGTGTTTTCATGTTCCAAGTGCAGATGGAACAAGCACATTAGCTGCCCAAAGTGTCGCAACAAAGGCGGGTAACGGGGGGGGGAAGACCTTGGGCCTGGATTTGGGCTGCTGATGTTGCTTGAGTGAGCTGCTATTGATCCGATATCCCCTGTGTAGTTGCCATGTTAAACTATACTACAACCATGTTTGCCTACAACAAAACCCTTGTCCATTTGTCTAGGCCCTTTAAGGAGAGGCGTGTAGGGCATGGACTTGCACAGACCCTCAGTCGTTGTTGGAGTTCCCCTGCATCCGACATTCAGCCGGAACACCAAGAACAAGGTTGCACGCTGGGTTCCTAACCCTGAAAGCTCCAAACCATAAACCCTAAACCATAAACCTTGAATTAGCCCCCCTTAGCCGAACATGAAAAAGGCCTACCTCCCCCCCCCCCTTGTTGGCGACCCATGTTCACTAGGTTCATGTGCCCGCATAGTCTTCACTTTGGCATTTCAAGGGGTTCCGTCTACACTAATTTCAGGGCCAATGTATATATACGACATAGGTGCGAGTTGTACATGGACCCTTGATCAGACCCTTAACCCTAAACCCTTATGGTAGCCTTGCACAAGCGTTTTAAACCCGATTGGTAACCCTATAGTGCCTAACACGTGCAACCCGATTAGCCCTTAATGCTGAATCCTACACCCTATGCCCCAAACACTAAGTCCGAAACCCAAAATCCCTACAGCCCTATACCCCAAGCCCTGAATCCCAAACCCTAAATCCTAAATCCGGAAAAGTACTATATATCCTAAACCATGAAACCCTAAACCCTAAACCCTTCTGTATATCCTAAACCATGAGTCCTATAAATTCTAAGTTGTACACCCACGCACTGCGCAGGAGACCTGGATCTGACTGAGCCTCGCTCTCGATAGCTCCGAAGCTCGGGACAATTGAAGGTTTAGGTTCTAGGGTTTAGGGTTTAGGGTTTAGGTTTTAGGTTCTAGGGTTTAGG